CTAATAAAAACTGCATTTTAGCTTCGACATGAAAAACAGAATCAAACGCTGTGAAAACCTCCGCGTGAGAATAAAACCTCTTCAGATACAAACAGAGACTCATTTTTCCTGATCCCACAGAATTTAAAATGCTCACTGAGCTGGAATCAGGACGATTATTCAATCAGTCGGTTCCTGTGTAGAGAGGTTTATGAGAGCGCGCACACACACACACACACACACACACACACACACTCACAATCAATAAAAAGAAAAGCTTTTACAGTCTCCACTTCCCGGAACCGGCTCCGTGCTGCACTCAGCTCTGCACCATTATGTTTTTCTTTCTTTCTTCCCTTTTCTTTTTCCTCACACTGACGAAAACACAAAACTTTCATGGAGACATATTTCAGCTCAAAAAGACAATCATCGCCTCGTCTTCGTCCTAATCAGCAAGTTAATGTAGGGCGTGTCCAGATCTACCTGGTTTAACGCTGGGGAGATAAAAGTTCTCTGCAGCAGCTGCACGGTTCGAAAGGTCTTCACTTAGTCTATTAATTAATCATGGCTTTGATTTATGGTGATCGTGCAATAAATGAAAGGGCTGCGTCCAGTTCCCTTTCAAAGGCAGGTGCACTTGCAAATTGGTGAATTACAATGGAAGAACTTCAAGCTGTAATACCACAGATCACATGATCGCTGCCGTCTCAGTGGAGTCAGAGTCCGGCTGTAGTTGTGAGGGATGTGGTCGTGGCGTCGCCGACCTGCTGATACACACATTTACCAACTGTGGGCCGGTGTCAGCCGTCAGTCACGATGTTTCACCCTTTATAACTAATCACAGCCAAACTTTGCAGAATCCTCAAACATTTTTTTTGATGGTCAGTTACAATACACAATACACGTGACCAACGCGCCAACGTGCACAACCTGACGACCACGTGGGTCTGAAACCAGCGACGACACTTTGCTTCTCTGCTGTTTTTGTTTTGCTGCAGCAGCTTCACTCTGAGCTCATCGCTGTTTCAGAAGCTCTTCAACTGTTTTATAAATTATTCAGCACGAGTGAGGATTAAAAAAAAATGAAGACAACAACATCAAGTGTTCGAGACATAAAGTCCATCAGACAGCTGATCCGTGTTTGCCCTGAAGACGTTTTCAAAACAACAACATCACAATGATTCTTAAACTCAGCTGTTTGTCCTCAGCGACTCTTCAGGCTGAAGCTCTATCACATTTTTAAAACGAGCACTTTATTAGGAACCTTTACTCAAGCGTGTTTATCCAATCAGCCAATCACGTGGCAGCAGGTCAGCGTGATATTATGACTTCATTCTCGAAATCTCAGGTTTTATTCTTCAACAGCCTGTTTCTTTATGATTCGTTGATAAAAATAAAACGTGTTCCTGGTCTTATGTTTGTGAAACTGCAGCAGAGTCTTTTGATATTTGATTTGAAGTCTTGCATTAAGAAAATCTCAGATCTTGGTTCTGATCAGGCTGAAGTGCTGTAACACAATGAGCTGCACGATGTCACTGTGAATCAATAAAGACATTTTGAGCTTTATCACAGTTTGTAACCCATGACAAGTAACCACAGCCCCCTCCCCCCCTCCGTCCCTCTGCCAGATGTGCCGACATGAGACTGAAAAACAAAACCAAAGACTTGAGACCAAAACCAGGACAAAGAAAACAGAAGAGGGGGTGAAACCAGAAACAGAGAGAGACGGTTGTCGTGTTGTAAAACAAAAACACAACGTCCACACTGAAAGCAAACACACAGAGAAACTGAGGAGACGCTGTGGACACAGCTGCGACAGATGTTCAAGAACACACCAGCAGAACGTCCACTGACGTGAAGTTCTCCCAGAGGAGCACACGTGGAAAACATGCAGTTTGTTTGAAATTCAATATCATTTTCTAAATTCTAAAAACTTCTGTTTGTCTGTTATGCAAAAACTTCTCAACCAGTTTCCATGAAATGTTGTGGAGGGGCGGAGCATGAAGGAGAAAGGTCGAGAACCAATCCATTAACTTTATGAGGGAGCGATTTGGTGCAGATGAAAACTAGAAGACTGCTCACAGAGCAGAACTTTTCAATTCACTGGATTTTTATCAAGATCGATGAATGAAAATGTTTCACAACGTTTAAAAAAAGTAAAAAGAAAACTCCTGGCTCCGCCCCCATAACAACCAGACGAAGACAGAATTAAAATAATCTGGGTTTCAGCTCCGAAACGTTTCTGTGACTTTTTAAGACTGAAACACTGGAGGTGTTGATTTGTTCTCTCTGGACGGACACTGTGGACGTTCTGCAGCATCATGGGAAAGTGAGAAGTGTCCCGTGTTTACCTTTCATGGTGGGCGGGGCGAAGGTGCTCTGCTTCCTCTGGGACGAATCTGAATCCTGCAGAGCAGAAGAAGAAATCTAATTATAACAGCAGAGGAAGAAATGAGCGGATTCTGGAAAGATGAATTAAACACAATAACAACAACACAACAATGTTGAGGAGACGAGTTAGAAAAACTGTGAGTGAGTGAACGTGCTCTGATCTGAGGCTCATGATGAAATGTTCACATCCCGCAGGTCGGGACAGGAAGTTCTTCATAATCTTATTATGAAGAAACAACACGGACTCAGTTCATCTGCTGGAGCTTCAAACCACAGACGCTCTGGAACTTAAAGGTCAAACACAGTCAGGACGACTGAATAAAAC